CATTAATTATGATTTTTTAGAACATAAATCTTAAAATTCTAAACCCTAAAAAATATTTTGACTCCTAAAACCCCTTAAACCCTCAAAACTAAACCCTAATACAACATAGTTAACCCAAACATAAATGATATAATTAATAAATAATTTTGAAAATGTGGCATTTTTGCAAAAATTGTAAAAATGTTGCATTTTTGTAAAGTAGCACTTGAAAAGTGGTTTTTTAAAAAATTTCTAATAAATATTTAATAATAAACATGAAATCTACGCTATTTTGGAAAATATTGCAATAATATATACGAAATTCACATCCAAGGATTTTACAAATAAAATAACAAGTCATGGTTATATAGTGGTGGTACTTGTAACATTTTGAAATCTGAGAGCTAGTGAATGATTATTTTTGTGACTCAAAAATGATAATTTATGGTTCCATGGTTATGGTGTTGGTCTTTAAGGTTCCTCACCAGTTTCGATCTTTTGCGAGGTTTGTATGCGTTTGGTGTTAATTGGTTCTAGGTGGTTTTGTTTCTTTCTCTCTATTCATATGATATGATAGACATATGCTCTGTTCAATGCCTTTATTGAGCATGTTCACGAGTCGTATTTTTGATATTGCCTTTACCGTAAGAAAAGTGAAAAATTTGATGAGTCTTGTTCTTTCAATTACAAGTCTAAGACAATACTTTTGTCGTATGTTTCTTGTGAATGGCCATTGCAGTTTCATATTCTCATGGAGGCCGAGTTCGCTATAGGATATGAGAGTGTATGATAACCAATTTGGAATGTCAAAGGGATGATGTTGCTTATCATCTTAAGGTGTAGGATTATCCATAATTCTATAACCTGAAGTTTCATTTCTCATATTGTATAACACCTATTGGTGTCTTATTTGAAACTTTGTATTCTCTCCATACTGGTTTTCGGTTATAATAAAATTGTATTTCAGTGTTAAAAAAAAATGGTAGCATAGTAAGAAATAAAATGAAAAGGAAAGGGCTCTTGATAGTTAGCAAAATAAAAATTACACCAGCTGTAAGTTTCTACTTCTACCTATTTGAGTAGGTCTTGATGCATCTTTCAAATTGCAATATTTGGCCACACTTTAATAGTTTTGGAAAATAATTCAATTCCAATCAGTTCCAGTGGGTTTCTAAATAGGTTTTAATTAATGCCATTAATTATGTTTGTATAAACTCAATTGCTAGTTTCCTTTCATCAAGAATATTCGCTAAACAAGATAGAAAAGTTGTTAGTATAATGAACAATGTAATCTTGTTACAAAATTAAGACACGTGAGCGAGAGCAAATCAACATTTTTATCTTCATTTCTTACATATATATTTTCATTGATGACACACAAAAGGCGTGGAAATTTTATTTGTGACAAAAAATATATATTAAAAAATTCAAAAACAAATAGTTGATTTATTCGATTCAGAATTATCAAATATTTCATAAATATATTAATTTAATAATTGTCTATATTATGGAACTAGTGAACTATGGTCCAATTGCTCGATGTATAAGTGATATAATGATCTAATAAATAAATAAAAATGTGATTTGTTGTTCGATATCAATTTAGACACTAATGTAGGCCTGCCACAAAAATTGATTGTTGAGTTTACAAAACAACTATTTAGTTCATAATGTATGAACGGTGAAGATCAAAACGAACACTATTCTATCGGACCCTATATTTGCTTACCATACTAAATGATATTATATAGTTTCTAAAAATATAACAAAGTAATATAAAAATATAGCATGGCTACGTTTATTGGATAAGTGAATCAACTTTGTAGAACTTTGGGAAATTAGTCCAGCTAAGAATTTTGGCATTTCTTCCAAATTCCGATGTTCTCTTTAATTAAGTTATAGAACTTTGGGAAATATTTAGATCAGTAGATGATGCTAGTTCGACCTAAATCGAGGTACATTGTCGTCTTGTTATTAGTGTGCCAACCAACTATAGTCCTCAAATTAAGTTTCACTTTTTGCACGACAGATTAAGATTTGTTTGGTGGCTTAAAAGAAGTTGATTACCCTCAAATTTTGGTTCTCATTAACTGTCGTTCTACAAAATACGATTTTTTTTTACATAAGTATATATAGTTTTATAACGTTGCAAATAATGATGAATATTGTAAGTTTAGTTTCTAATTTCTGTAACTCGGATCTCTCATTAATTTGAAACCAGAGTTTATCAAAAAAATTGCAAAATCAAATACACATCGAGAAATACATAATATTTATCTAAAAATTCATATGACTAATTTGTAACAAAATTGTCTTTGGTGAATAAATGATCATAATCGCTTTTGCCCCGTCATTTGGCTAATCGAGTGCAAACTTGACGGAAGTTTTAGAAAAGAGGAACAACCACAAAAGATAACGAAACCAAGTAAGTGTAGAGCTATGCTCTTTTGTCTTGCAATTTGATGGATTAGTTACAAACGAGAGGTAACAAAAACAACTCCGAACAAAATTTGTGAAAAATTAAACGATCCAATGATTTTTTTTCTTTTTTTGGTCGAAACGATCCAATGATCTAGATCAAAATCTAAGGGATATAAGTGGATTACTAAGGCTTATTATCTTGATTAAAGAGAAATAAACAGATAAAATCTTTTTAGGAGTAATCCTTAAGAATATCGTAGAGAAATAAAACTTAATTGCTTCGATTAAGGCGACATATTAATTACTTGTAGAAATGGTCTTAATGTAGTTCATTAGAAAAAAGTCTTTATTAATGATTTCCATTAACATAAGTGTATATCCATCTTAGTTCAATAAATTCTTTGATAATTAACTTAGTGGTTGATAACTTCATCTGCATAAGTGACTTGAAGCTTGTACACTCTCTTCTCAGGTGACTTAGACAAAGCAGAGGAATTGCAGATTTTTGGTAGAGCAGACTTCCCTTTGTAAGCTTTGCAAACTTTAGCCACAAAATCATCCCTACTCTGCATCCCCCAAAAACCAAATTCAACAAATATATAAGCCACATTTTTCAATTGATTAAAAGATGTAAATAAATTCAAGTAAGAGTATTCATGAAAATTATACGCCATAGAGTGGTTTCCCGTTGAGTGTGACCCATGGTACGTATTTATGTTTCGGTTTCAAACTAATTGTCTGGTTTGCATACCCAAGTATGAGCTACAATAACAAAAGAAAAAAAATAATTGTTATATGACTATATATTTTGAGTATTTTCTCTATATAATATATATATGTGCCTATACCTTTTTGGAGAGATCACCATTGTAACAATCGTTGATGGCTTTCTCACCTCCATATTTCTTAAAACATGATGATTCCCAGTTCTCTGTATCTTGTTCAACGCATCGTATGAACCGGTAATGCAATTTCTGCGTTACAAAACCATCACATTTTCTTCAAATTAAATTCTCTAACCTCTAACAATAAATGCATTTATTAACTACAGACCGGATTGGGCCAAGTGTTTATGGCGCAAGCTTCAAGGGCGTTTAGTTTGCATTCCTCTTCTCCATGCTTCACAAATTTCCCAACCATATAATTAATTAGAACGGTTTATTAGATAAATATACTCATATATATCAAACCGATCTAATCATAACAAAATGAACGATTTACTAGTTTTTTCAACAAGAAGAGGGAAGAAACTAAAAAGTACCTGGCATGTAACAATCAGATTCTTGGAGACATAGGCGTTACC